GATCTACATACTGTGGGGTCGGGCTCCAAATTCCTCAATAGGACACCCATAGCACAAAAGTTAATAACTAGAATAAACAAATGGGACTTACTCAAACTAAAAAGTTTTTTCTCAGCTAAAGAAACAATAAGAGAGGTAAATAGAGAGCCTACATCCTGGGAACAAATCTTTACTCCTCACACTTCAGATAGAGCCCTAATATCCAGAGTATACAAAGAACTCAAAAAATTAGACAATAAGAGAACAAACAACCCAATCAACAAATGGGCCAAGGACCTGAACAGACACTTCTCAGAGGAGGACATACAATCAATCAACAAGTACATGAAAAAATGCTCACCATCTCTAGCAGTCAGAGAAATGCAAATCAAAACCACCCTAAGATACCATCTCACTCCAGTTAGATTGGCAGCCATTATGAAGTCAAACAACAACAAGTGCTGGCGAGGATGTGGGGAAAAGGGTACACTTGTACATTGCTGGTGGGACTGCAAATTGGTGCAGCCAATTTGGAAAGCAGTATGGAGATTTCTTGGAAAGCTGGGAATGGAGCCACCATTTGACCCAGCTATTCCCCTTCTCGGTCTATTCCCTAAAGACCTAAAAAGAGCATGCTACAGGGACACTGCTACATCGATGTTCATAGCAGCACAATTCACAATAGCTAGACTGTGGAACCAACCTAGATGCCCTTCAATGGATGAATGGATAAAAAAAATGTGGCATTTGTACACAATGGAGTATTACTCTGCATTAAAAAATGACAAAATCATAGAATTTACAGGGAAATGGATGGCATTAGAGCAGATTATGCTAAGTGAAGGTAGCCAATCCCTAAAAAACAAATGCCAAATGTCTTCTTTGATATAAGGAGAGTAACTAAGAACAGAGTAGGGTCGAAGAGCATGAGAAGAAGATTAACATTAAACAGGGATGAGAGGTGGGAGGGAAAGGGAGAGAGAAGGGAAATTGCATGGATATGGAAGGAGACCCTCAGAATTATACAAAAGTACATACAAGAGGAAGTGAGGGGAAAGGGAAAAATAATACAAGGGGGACAAATGAATGTCAGTAGAGGGGGCAGAGAGAGAAGAGGGGAGGGGATGGGGGGAGGGGGGATAGTAGAGGATAGGAAAGGCAGCAGAACACAACAGACACTAGTATGGCAATATGTAAATCAATGGATGTGTAACTGATGTGATTCTGCAATCTGTATATGGGGTAAAAATGGGAGCTCATAACCCACTTGAATCAAAGTGTGAAATATGATATATCAAGAACTATGTAATGTTTTGAACAGCCAACAATAAAAAATTAAAAAAAAAAACCAATCATATCCTTTGAGCAACTCAACACAAGGCTGTCTTCTCAGTTCTTCTCATTTCTCACTCTGCCCCACCTCTACAGACTCTGATGCAACAGCTATTCCCCTTTGCCTTCTATCATGGTACCCAAATGATTCTCCATAAGTGTCTCTCTGGCCTTTCTGAATTTTTCTACTTGTCCTTTGTTTTTTCCCTGTTCTTAAAATGTAAACCCTTGTCTAGGTTTTCTAATCAGTCCTCTTCCCTAGACTATAATTATCACATCACCTCATACAAATCACTCCTAAATCCAATCTCCAAACCGGACTCCTTCAAAACCAAATATCCAACTGCATAGAAATCTACACAGAGAAATCCATTAAGACTCAGTATTCCCAAAATGGGAATGGAATATGTCTTCCTCCAAAAGCACACTCCTCTGTGATATGATTACCTTGTCCTAGGCTGGAAACTCTGGTTCCTGCCTCTTCTTTAAAGTCATTTCTAGTTTAGAAACTAAATTCTGGCTCTTCCACCTCATGGTGCCTCTCAAATCAGGCCCTTTCTTTCCACAACCACTTCCACTGCCAGACAGGCCTGGCATTTCTTATCTGAGTATGACAATAGTCCCTAATGATGGAGAGATTAAACAGCAGTCCCTATGGAGGGGGGGAGGAATTCATAGAGAAATGAGAGATCACTCCAAAGCACACACCATTCCATTCCCCCTTACTCAAAAACCTTCCAGAGCTCTCTATGACTTAAAGAATGAAACCAGAAGTCCTTATGGTGACTATAAACATGCTCTAAGAGCTGATCCCTGGCTATCTTTCTGGCCTGGTTCCTCATTCCTCTTTACCCACTGGGCCTCACATGCCATCCAGAAGGGATCATCTGTGATGCCCAAACACACTCTGCATCTTTCCCTTTGCTTCTCACTTGTGCCTCAACTCAGCATGCTCTTCTCCTTCCCCCTAGGAGAGCAACAAGGGATGAATGCTTCCACATTTCTCATAAAGCTAGAATCATTGTGAGGCACAGGAGCAGAGGGTCTAAGCATGGATGTCTTTGAGTCAAATGACCACCATCAAACCCCAGTCTGCTGTCAACCAGTAGTATAAATCTCCTGAGCTTCCATAGTTGGCTCATCAGCAAACTGGGAACAATAACCTTACCTGCCTCTCAGGACTGCTGAGAAGATTAAAAAAGCAGCCATGTTGGGCTGGGGATATAGCTCAGTTAGTAGAGTGCTTGCCTTGCATGCACAAGGCCCTGGGTTCGATCCCCAGTACTAAAAAAAAAAAAAAAAATAGGCATGTTGAGCACACAGCAGGTGCACAATGAGTGTCTCTCCTACTGGCAATAGCATTTTTAAAATATATTATTGTTTGAAGTGAAATTTCCAACAAATCTAAATATACTGTACATGTGTAAGTAAGCTATCAAAAATAATTAAAATTATCAAGCCCATCATTGCCTGGTTTGTAGGACTGCTGGAGATACCATACCTTCCTTACACAGTCTCTCTAGTAAACCACCCTGAAATGGACAAAAAAAAGTTAAAATAAAAATAGCCATAAAACTTATCTTATTTGGCTCTTTTAACCCCATTCCTGAGGTTATTTCCCCACTGGAGGACAGTAGTAGTTCCTTTGATTTTCTGCACAAAAAAACTTGTTAGCAGTATTACTTGTAAGATTAAATAATTGGAAACTAAATGATATAGTCAACAGTTGGGAACAGGCTCAAAAAACTCCAGAAGCAGTGGGAAGTCCATAGTACCTGGAACTCATGGGCTTCACCAAAGGGTCTTCCTCTTCCCTGCTCCTTAAATGCCCAGAGGATATACACTATGAAAGTCAGAATATTTGAAGTCCAACATGCAATGTTATATCTCAGGATCAAAATTTTTCCATGGAACTTATTTGAAGTTGTCAGTACAGTGTATACAAGATTATTTCAATTAACATTTATTGTAAGTTACTCAGACTTTTAAGGAGTGCATAAAAATAAAGATATGGTTACAATTCACAGAGAGACCAGGCTCTGCCTTAAACTTCAACATAATCTTAACCAGGTAGACAATGATAACGTCACAGGAAAAAGGACCACCTAAGATCTGGGCAACTCTGAAAACTACCATTTTTCATTAAAAAATGGGAAATACAGAAAGAAATTTGGTTCTAGCATAGATGAACATAAGCAATAACATTTAGTTTTGAGAAAACAAAGTCCAATAGAAACCAAAAAGGCAAAGGTCCAAGTTGGGGTAGGGCTGGTCATCTTGGCAGCCTTCATTAAGTAAGCACTGCCTATTTGGGGAGGTAGAAAATGTGATCTCACCACTTTTTTCTGTTCTAGAGAATCCAATTGGCATCTCTACTTCTTCTGTGAGAGACCATGCTCGAATTCAGACCGTATTTCCTGGCAGTCAGAGGGAGGAAATAAAAAAGGATTTGCATTTCTCTAATTGCTAGAGATGATGAATATTTTTATATATATTTGTTCGATATAAGGAGGCTGATTCATAGTGGGTTAGGGAGGGGGAACATGGGAGAAATAGAAAAACTCTAGATAGGGCAGAGGGGTGGGAGGGGAAGGGAAGGGGCAGGGGGTTAGCAAGGATGGTGGAATGTGATAGATATCATTACCAAAGTAGATGTATGAAGACACAAATTGGTATGAACATACTTTATATACAACCAGAGACATGAAAATTTTTGCTGTTTATGTGCAATAAGAATTGTAATGCATTGCACTGTCATTTATTTTTAATAAAACAATTAAAAAATTAAAAAGGAAAAGGAGACATATGACCTCACCTGTTCCAGTACCTCCAGGCTAACTGAAGAGCAAGCCTCCCTGGGCTTTGCTCTCTTTATAGCCTGATTAATTTCACAATAATGGGAAATATTTTCTTTCAAAATAAGAGAAATAAGGGACTTTAAGTAACTCTCTGTTGTATAAGTTCACCAATATGGGTAGACTTCTTTTATTCACTGTAACAGGTTTCAAGAAAAGTAAATTGATTTATTTTGACCAGTACTTTTGACCAGTTTAACTCTTAAACCGTTTTTTTTTTTTTTGGGGGGGGGAGGTCACAGAGCCCTCTGAAAATAAATGTAACCTATGGACCTCTCCCTGGAGAAATGCACAGAGACTTGGCACATACACACAGATTGTATACTCCATGAATATTTTTTGCATGCAATTTAGGGATTTATGGAACCCCTGAAGGTTGCCCCAGCCCCCAACTCCTGCTCTTATTATTTTTTTCCCCAAAGAGAAAAGTTGAAGATTACTCAGGTAGTTGAGACCCAAACAGTCCTCATGAATTGGATAAAATAATAGAATTTGAGAACCTTCGAATGCAGGTCCTTGCTTCAAAGCTTTTCAAATTGTTGCTTATTGATAGCAACTGAACACTTTACAAATGAAATACTCTGCAGAACACCAATATTTGAAAGAGTTAAAAATAAAGCTACTCTTGGTGATAAAGATGCTAGGGGACTTGGATTCCCATCCTTTCAAATATCCCTGTGGCACTTCCAACTCTGAGAAAGACACTTGAAAACATCACTCTGGGCTGGCTCCAATGGCCCATCAAGCCACCCTTGGGCCCTTGTCTCCAGGACTGTTAATATGCCCAGGCACTGCCTGGGAGCATGGGCTGTTCAGAGAACAATCTTAACATACCTATTTCTTGGCCCAGTTGGGAGGACTTCAGAGATCCTGCTGACGAGACAACAGCACATCTGTGCCATGGCCCAGCCTTGGTCCTGATGTTCTCCTTGGGCAGGTAGCCCTCCCAGTCAGAGGTGTTGAAGGGAAAGTCTGTGGCCTCCACCATGGATACATTCACACGGTCCCGAAGGTAGCAGCGCAGGGCATCTGCACTGTACTTGACACCTGGCCCTGGCCCCTTGTAGGACACTTTGTACTTGTTCATATTCAGATAATTCTTCAAGATCTTTTGCAACCTGGGGATAAGATTTTTTGATGAGCTTTCCTTGTTCCACACTTGGAAGGAGGCTTGTGGATTGGACTTGGTGGAGTCCTTGGGACCACTGAGGGCCTGGCTGTTCTTCTGTGGGTCCTGAGTGTTGTCTGAGGACACAGACTGGGAACGAGACCTCATGGTTAGTTTCTCCAGAGTCTTCAACACCTGGAATTCCTTGGTTTGCAATTTAAGAGAATCATAGTAACTCCCTTTCTTTCTTTCCTTCCAGACACAGATGACTGCAAACAGGAGAAAGGCCACAATACAGCAGCTAAATTTTTTCTTCATGTTGGTGTGAATCATAATGAAAGTTGTGTTCAGGGAAGCCCCTCTGTTCTGAGCAGGAGAACAAATCTAAAAAGAGTGGGACAAGGAAAACAAAACAAAAAAAAACAATGTAAAGAACATCCATAAGTGGCACACAGCCAGGGACAGTGGCACACATTGCAATCCCAGCAACTCAGGAGGCTGAGGCAGGAGATTGCAGTTCAAAGCCAGCCTCAGCAACTTATCAAGGCCCTAAGCAATTTAGCAAGACCCTGTCTCAAAATAAAAAGGGATGGGGATGTGGCTCAGTGGTTAAGTGCCCCTGGATTCAATCCCTAGTACCAAAAAAAAAAAAAAAAAGGCACACAGAGGATGATGGGCCAAGCATTTAGAGTGAGAATATGTGAATTCCAGTCCTGCTATACCTCCCACCAATTATGCAGCTTTAAACAACTCTCTGAAAAATTCAGCTTTCATTTGGACTTTAAATGTACACAGCATTCCCTGGGACACTCCCTCCTTCCTCTGTGAACCCTGAATGCTTTCTATACCTTCCCACCTTTTATTTCTTTTTAAATTTTTTTTAACATTTATTTATTAGTTGTAACTGGACACGATATCTTCATTTCATTTATCCATTTTTATGTGGTGCTGAGGATCGAACCCAGGGCCTTGCACGTGTTAGGCAAGCACTCAACCTCTGAGCCACAATCCCAGCCCCCTACCTTTTATTTCTACACCCTGAGTCTTCGTCTCCGGTTGACTTGTCTACGTCCCTCGAGAAGCTTCACTCTTAGTTTTTTAAGGTCGGGAACCACATCTTGTGCATCACTTGGTTCCTAGAACCTTATACTATCTGTTAGATGATGGCATGCACACTTGAAAAAAAGTCTGGTGTTATTTTAAAATAGCTGGAGAAAGACCCCTTGCCATGGATGATGCTACAGATTTGTGGTGCATCTCTCTAAGGGCTGTGATGTTGGACTCCCATATAAAAACAAAAACAAGGGTTGGTTTCACAACATGACACTCAGTTTTGTGCAGTGCACTGCAAGAACAGCACTCATATGACAAGAAGTCGGCTAACTCACTTCATGATAGAGGAGAAGAAATCTTGATAAGGTAGCAGACATGTGGCAAATTAAAGAAATTGAAACAAATCTTCATTAAGCACAACAGATATTACTTAATTTCACTCTGACCAGAATCACTGTGATATATAACTAAAGAGAGCACCATACATATCAGAATCTAATAAAAGGGCTTCTTCTGAGCCATGCAGATGGGCTCTGACCCACCATCCAGGAAGGTGTTATAATCTCCACTTTTATAGATTAGCAGCAACCTGAGGCTCTGAAAGGTTAAGGGAAGTGCCCAGGATCACAAGGCTAAGGAAATGTTCAAATTGAAGTGCATTTGATTCCATAAGCCAAGCTCCTTGTACTATATCTTGCACAGAAGTGTTGCAAGTTCTAGAAAGTGGGCCTCACTAAGCAAACAGAGCCAATTCATTTTCTCAGAATTTATTGTGCAACTGAATGGAAGATGGAAGCACTTTGAACTCAAACACTGTGTGTATCTTTTGGAAAACATTAAATTCTCTCCTCAATCACTGGATTTATTTACCGTAATAAGTCAAAGCAATTGCCCCCAAGGTTTTGCTAATCCACAAGGAGTCTGGAGTCCCTTGTCATGAAGACTGCTCCTAAGGACATTAGGGATTAACCAGTAGGAAAACTGGGTTGGGTATCTGGCTTCTTTTTTCCATTCTTGGTGATGTAGGGCAAATGAATATCTCTGCTCCTAAGTTTTTATAGGATATCCATTTTTGCCTACCTCATTCATAAAAATTTGGGAGGACCAAACAAAAGGAAATGTTTATGAACTTGGAAGTAGGTAAGAAAGGCAGGCAAGGTATTCTGAATAGAGATGGAAGAGCAGTTCCTTGGCAAGAGAGCCATGTGGGGGTGATACAGGCCCAGCGAGCAATGGCAAGGTAGAACACGGGCCAGGTCTCATCAGCCTAAGAGGCAGGTTCTTCATCCAAGACTCTAATTAACTGACATCCAGCTCACTGTTGGAATTTGCTGTAAGTACCAACCAAAGCAGTATTTCCTACTATTCTAGATCTTAGGAACCAGTGGCTCTGAGGATGATGGTTTCCTAGCATGGGTGGTTGAGATTTTGTAAATGTCCCAGAAGAAAAATTCAAACATAAGATCAAAAGGTGAGAGGTAGAAGGCTTGTCACATCATTAGGAAACTAAGGAATTTCATTTCCTCAGCCACACAACAAGAATAAATCACATAACCATGTGACAACTCAAAAAAAAAAAAAAAAACTAGAGGGGCTGGGGTTGTGGCTCAGTGGTAGAGTGCTTGCCTCACATGTGTAAAGCACTAGGTTCAATTCTCAGCACCACATATAAATAAATGAATAAAATAAAGGCCTGTCAACACTACAAAATATTTAAAAAAATAGAGAAGTAGTATTTAAGGAGACCCAACTACATGGTGGACACTTTATCATTACACCATAGGAAATAGATATTCACAACTCTATTAGGAAATGAAGAAACTGAGCCTTAGCAGGGTTACAGGGCTTCTCTAAGGGTTTCTTTAGCTAATCAGTGCTAGAACCAGGATTGAAACCCAGGCCTATCTGATTCTAAAGGCCCATCATTGTCTTTTCACAAAAGAACAGGGATCTATGATCGGGAACAGTGAAAAGTCAGTGTTGGCCATCAGGACTCAGAAATCAGGGTACCCAGAGTGACAACTTGATATGTCAATTATAGAAAAGCCACTTCACCATAAGCAGTGCACCTGCCAGCACTGGTGAACATCATTTTACCACTCAGGGGCCCTTACACATGACTTAGGATTTGTAAGACACAGTATAGCTCTGTGAGATGAGCAAAACCGATTTTATGAGCTCCATTTATAGCTGAAGAACATGAGGTTTTGGGAATACAAGTAGTTTTTAAAGTTCCAAGAGTGATTTGGAAAGAATGGACTTGGAACTTGACTTTTACATGTCTGAGTGAAAGGTAATGTCAGGGAGGGGACTGTGGGGGAAGAGTTCCCACAAACCACCTGGCCCAAGGACTGTCCTGCAACCCTCAGATGGCCCCAGCCTTCATGGCCTGTGCAGGTCATGGCTCCAGAGCACACATCTGAACTTAGATATCGGGTCCTTCAAGTCCACCAGCAGCCTGGAGCATCTGGTCATAGGGATTTAGAACTGCAGGATCCTCTTTCACCTCTCAAGCATTTTAATAAGGCAGACTGAAGAAGCTTCATCTAAACAGCCCAATAAAGGGGAAAGAGTAGCAAACTTTCTCCACAAATTCTTTGGAAAAACACTCCAAGTTTTGAATTTTCCTATCCCACCAACTGACTTCTTAAGCCTCCATGTATTTACACTTTTACAATCTCTGCCCTTGACCTTCAGTAGAGCTCACGTCCACTGGGTACGATGCCTGTCCACTGCTTGCAATACTGCTTTGTAATTCTGCTTTTCATGTCTCCTCCTGGCATTTCTGAACCACCATACTCAACACAATGTCCCCCACAGGGATTATTGAGCTGGGTATGGTGGGGCATACCTGTAATCCTGGTGAGTCAGGAGACTAAGGCAGGAAGATCACAATTTCAAACAACTTAGCAAGACCCCATCTCACAATCAGGTAAAAAGGCTGGGAATGTAGGCTCAGTGGTAGAGCACCCTTGAGTTCAATCCACAGTTTAAAAAAAAAAAAGGATTATTATACTCATGTGACTATATCAATGGATCCTTACAACCAACATGAGACTTCTGGGAAAAAGAATACGATAACAACTGGCATTACTATCTACAGAGCCCAAGCTGGCAATAAAGCAGCAGAAAGAAAACCTTAAAGTAAGGAATTCTGCCATGAACTACTTATCAGCACATACTCAACATCAAATGTGGTGCTTGTCACATAGGTGCTCAAAAAGGCTGAGTGAATTATAGAGTAACTCAAATCTTATGTTTATAGCTTATAGAAAAACAGGCCAGCCACCTACACACCCACCTCCACCCTGCCCCACACTGAATCAGTGTTAGAGGACTAGAAAAGAAAAGAAAAACTATCAACACTGTAGTCAGGCATTGGGACCCTGAGATTCCTTGTCAGTGTATTCTGCCACACAATTTTTTACTCTGGAATGTACTCTCTGCTAGTTCATGCCTCTAGGTGTTTCTTACCTGCTTCTGGCTAATATTCCTGGGGCTGCAGGCCCTCCAGATCCTCAGGAGCAAGCACTGTTCTCCATGGGAACAAGGTCTGCTTTATTAGGTCTGGAGGCCAGGGCTCATTTTTCTCAGGATGATCAAAAAACATCTGCAAAAGGGAAAACAATTTTTTTTTAAATAGGAGGGGAGAACAGTTTTCTAGTAGAACTGGGTTAAATATTAACAAGATCGATAGGTACTTTTATAGGCCTAGACTCTGGTGTAACCCAGGAAGCCTTGGGATTTCAGAAAAGAGTGAAAAGCCTCTTCTTACAGGTACAATATTCTAGATCCCTGAACAGCAGGAAAGCCTAGAAAACTGACTATGCCAGATAGATGTATGCTGAAAGTATAAAGTAGGCCCCATCAACTAACCTGGGAAAGGCTTAGTTAACCTCTGCTTAGGGATAAATGGCAAGTAGACTCAACAGCCTTGATGTTTGGTCAACAGCCTTCAAAATGATAACGCTGGGCACATTATAATAAAATTACATTTGAAAGAGCATTATAAATTAACTCAACTCTTCTAGATAGTATTCAAACCACAGAAATAAAAGCTCATGATTTTTGACCAAGTTGCCATACTTCTAGGAAATAAGACTGAATAAACAATTCAAAAGAGAAAGAAGATTACAAATTTTAGTTTCCTCACATGTAAAATGATTCCCTACCTTATACAGTTGTGGTGAAGACTGAAAGAGGATTAAGGAAATAAAAATGTGAGTTCTATAAAGATCAAAAGTTTGTGCTGATAGATAGAGGCTAACCCACAATAAAGGAGGAGAGGAAGAATTAATATTCAGTAAATATTTATTCAGACAAAGAGGAATGAAGGGAAGGGAGGGGAGACAGGAAAAGAAAAGACAATGGAATGAATCTGAAATAATTTTCCTATGTATTTATATGAATATTCCATAGTGAATCCCACCATTAGATACATCCACAAGCACGGGGTCCTAACTAGAATAAGATATCCCATTAAGATATCCCATTAATTATATAATTATATCAAAATGAATTCTACTGTCAAGTACAACTAAAAGGAACCAATCAAAAATGAATATGGAATTTTAAAAAGAATGTGATTTTTATAAAGCTTTTAATTTCAAATTTATGGTAAAAAAAATTTAATTCAATTTCTAGCAATAGCTATACTATGGGAGAATCTCTGGTGGGAGAATATACACAATTGTGTGTGTGAATTTACATAGCAAAAGGAAAAAATAATATTGTAATTAGAAAAAGCAAAACAGAAATGTGCATACTTTTTTTTATAACTTAATTCACCTTTTTATGTGGTGCTGGGGATCAAACCCAATGTCTCACACATGCTAGGCAAGCACTCTACCACTGAGCCACAACCACAGCCCTACATACATTATCATGACAAAAAGTTATACATATCCAAGTGTCTTAAAAAATACACATGGTTGAGATCCCAAGACTAATGAGCAAACACAAAATAAAAGAATAATTCTCATTTTATCAGTTTGACTTCTTTTATTACTCTTCCTATGCTAGTTGAGTACTTATGGTAAAACTATTTGGAGCAAAATGAAAAATTAACTTCACCCTATGTATCAACTTGATGCACAATTTTGGGCTGACATGGAAGCTTGTCCTGGGGGGCGGGGGGACGGACGTAGTATTACGAAAACTAAGAGAACACCATATAACAGGCATCATCCTCTACCATCAGGAGAAAATCCTCCTTTGAAGGTGGTGAGGGGGCTTTCAGGTTGGGAGAACCCCAGTTTTTCAAGCAAGTAGAGAGAACCTAGGCATGACTGACAGGGCAAAAGTGAGAGGCATAATCATATCCCTGGCTAAAATTTTGGCACGCCTTATCAATTCAGAAAAGATCTGGTTTGGGAGTAGCTTCCTGGGAGAATCAGGAAATGACTTTGATAAGAATCCCTCTTCTTAAGGCATGGGTTTCCTTTCTCACATCAGCACTTATCATTATGTGTACATTCATATTTGAGTTGATTGCTGTTTGTCTCCTTCTAATAAAAATGTGAAGCTCTAGGGGCTAGGGTTGTGGCTCAGCGGTACAGCACTCACCTAGCATGTGCGAGGCGCTGGGTTCGATCCTTAGCACCACATAAAAATAAATAAATAAAATAAAGGTATTGTGTCCAATCAGAACTTTAAAAAATAAATAATAATAATAATAATAATAATAATATTATAATGAAGTTCTATAAGTAGGAACCTTGTCAGTCCTCTTCACCATTAATGCTGGCATCTCCAAACACTAAGTGAATGCAGGGCATATGGTAGGCACTCAATAATATTTGTTGAGTGAAGCAGCCCTTTTGAGAATTCTGCATATTTCAGTCATCAGTGATGGAAGAGGCTTTCTTAGCCCCATCAGGCACTAGCCTTTAGGTGATATCTACTGTGTGTGGAGTCTGCTTTGCTGTGCTTCCCTAACAATGCATGTGCTTCTGGGACATGAGGCTTTGGTTTGAGTTCCACCATAGACACCAGTAGAGTGCACCAAACCCAGCTTTCCTTTCAACTGCATCAGCTTGAAAGACTTGCCCTTAAGAAGATAAAAATCACTCTTGATTTCAAAAAACAAACCATTTAAAGCAATGTGGTGCAACTGACTATCTAGATGTATTGCAGGTGATGATAAAGACCTTCCAAAAATAGTGACAGTGCTGCCAGTTAGACAGCAGCACTGTCTTCAACCAGCTGCAGAAGTGATAACGGAACCCTCTGCTCTGGAGGATAAACTAGTGATCATGACAGTAATGGCTGCCATTTACTTAGAACTAGCTATATGCTCATGCTCGGCACTCACAATAGCTTAGGGGTTAACAGTACAAGAGCTGAAGTCAGACTGATGTAAGTCTTACCAGTTACATGACCTTGGGCTACTCATCCCTCTAAAACTCAGTTAATTCGCCTATCAAATGGAAAGAATAACAGATCCTATCTCATAGGGTGATGTACAAAATCAAGTAAGATCATACATCCAAAGGGATTGTAACAGTGCCTGTGACAAGTACTATCGACACATGTCATTTATTCCTCACCATGCCCCACTCATGTGGACACCATTGTTATTCCCAAGTTACAAACAGGGAAAATGAGACAAGGAAGATAAGGGGCATTTGGACTGCTACTTGAATTTGTCTCTTTCATGCAATACTTATAAAGTTCATCTGTATGGAATGTCCTTTCCTGCCTTGTTCACACTATGCCCATTCAGACTCTAACACCAATTAAAGAACCCCTTGACTTTGAAGCCTTCCATGACCCCACAGAGATCACTGTGACTCCACTATGCCCGTCTGTCCCTCATAAACCTATGTGACATTTGAGAGCAGATCTGTCCCAGCCATATTGACAGTTCCTTTCTTTGAGACATCTCTGGCTCCCTGCATCTAGTAGCCAGGCTCTGGATCATGGCTATGAAATGTTGAGTCATGTCTGAATGAAAGAATGTCGAGTTTTGTGCAGAGTGAGAGAGAGAGATTTAATTTCATTTTTGCTACATATCGATTTCCAGTTTTCCCAGCACCATTTGTTGAGGAGGCTGTCTTTTCTCTAATAAATGTTTTGGGCACCTTTGTCTAGTATGAGTTTATTTATGTGGGTTTATTTATGTGGGTTTGTCTCTGTGCCTACTATTATGTACCATTGGTCTATGTGTCTGTTTTGGTGCCAATACCATGCCATTTTTTGTTATTAGGGCTCTGTAGTATAATTTAATGACAGGTATTGCGATGCCTCCTGCTTCAATCTTCTTGCTAGGGATTGCTTTGGCTATTCTGGGTCTCTTATTTTTCCAAATGAATTTTCATGATTTTTTTTTTAGTTCTATGAAGAATGTCATTGGGATTTTATAGGAATTGAATTAAATCTGTGTAATATTTTTGAGAGTATGGCCATTTTGAGAATATTAATTCTGCCTTCCAACAATATGGGAGATCTTTCCATCTTCTAGGGCCTTCTTTGTTTCTTTGGTGTTCTGTAGTTTCCATTGTAGAGGTCTTTCACCTCTTTTGTTAGATTGATTGCCAAGTTTTGTTTTGTTTTGCTTTGTTTTGTTTTTGAGGCTATTGTGAATGGGATTTTCCTAATTTCTCTTGAATGAAAGAATGAAGCTAGTTCTGACACCATCCCTCCCTCCTCCCCACAACCTGATTGCCAGAATCCCCTCTACAGCACTGGTGTGTAGATGTTCATTTAGTCTGCTGGATATACTGAATGACAGGGAAATCAACACCTCCCTAGGTGGCACATGGCTGTCCAAGCTGTTGTGCCTTTTTGACCTCAAAATGAAAGAAAATCAATTTCCCTGTAAAAATGGATCCAGTGATTTAAGCTCTGCTCTCTGTTCACATAGGCTCAGAATGAAAGTCACTAACATTTCTTCAGGCCAATCAACATGCAGGCTCAGAATTAAGAATGTTTCATGCATCCACAAATTATTCTTACTGCTATGCTGTGCGGACCACACCACCCACTATCCCTGCAGTCATCTACTCCCACACCATTCATTCACACACATCTCTTCATTCTTTGAATATTTTAGCTCAAGACTCCCTGTAATTTCCCCCAACACTATCTCTCCTGCGATGCTTAGTTATATGTGAATATCATATCCACCTACGAGATAGTCTAGTTCTCTGGCCTCACAGCTCTTGAATCTCTTCTACCCCCATATTTGTGATATCAATCACTCACTCTCAGGTTAGAATTCTGATCTTTTTATTTCCAAAAAATATACCCCCTCCATAATCCCAATTTCAGACTTCCTTCTCCAATCACCACTCCTTGTCTTTCCAGCTTCTTCCAACTCTTCCCAACTCCAGCAATCTTCTGTGGCTCATCCTATCAACTCCTTTGTCTCCCTCACCTCCCACATCCTTACTCCCCTTCCTACCAGCTTAAATTCCTTAGTTAAGCATTAAAAGAACTCCCCTATCCTCTCTTATCACATGGTTGGCCAAAACCCAATCCTGGCTAAATCCAATGCTGTCTGACCCCATACCTGCAGCCATGCAATTGAACTTGGCTAGATAACAACCACACAACAATGTGTATTGATTTCACTCCATGTTACTGATCACTAACTGCCAGAAGGTCCTT